GCTCCTCCTGGCTATTCAAAATCCGCGCTTCGTGCTGTGCTGCCCAACGACCGAAGGGGGTTACGACGAGATCTCGAATATTGGAGGCAATCTTCTGATGGTTCTTTGTGGCTTCTATCATCTCACTTCGAACTCCTTCGTACGCCTAGACCACAGAAAAGTCAGCAAAGTCAGAAAGGAACGGAGATAAATCCCCAATGCACCCGTGATTTCTTTGACAGTTGGGCTAGCCACTTACTTTTCGTACGCTGGCACCATCGTCCCGTGCAAAACCGTTTGACATCCGATCGATTGATGGCGCGATATCCCCCAGTTTTGCACTGTATAATTGTTCTGCATCTGCGCGCATACGAGCAATAGCAAGGATTTGCTGATTCTCTACTATGCCCTGCTGCAGTTTGGTGAAGAGTACGCCAAGCCCGCTGGCATAATCAGGGGACCAAAAACAATCCGCGAAACCTGGCATTGTGAAGGAGGGTGAAGGTCGTGTAAGGGTTCAAACTCGGAAAAAGAAAAGGGAAGGCGACAAGGCTTCGATACGATAGCGGAGACGGAACTGGAAGCGTAGATCGTTGGGTGTCTTCGAGACAAGGAGATTTAATGGGCACGTTATGGAGGCTCGGAGGACGAGGAAAAGGCGCAAAGTGCTGTCTCTGAAAGAGAGCTTGGACTGGGCGGCTCAGGAACGAAAGTTAAGTTTGATTCTGACACAAGCAGCCTCTCAGAGGATGATTGGGTGGAGAACGAGACGAACGCAGTTAACGCAGAGGTGAAGGGGGAGAGAAGAAGACGGAATGCAGAGAGGTCGTGTCGAGATAAAACCCTGAGAGAAGGAAGAAGCAGGCGACCAGGGGAAGTGATGGATCCCTGACCTCGCTTTCGTTGGACGTTGAACGGTGTTGGACTGAATTGCGCATCCGCAGCTGCGCCCGTCAGCAGCCAAGTCACGTGGTGGGGTGGCTTGTACCGGATAGAACGCAGGTGAAGGTATCAGGTACCTAACTTAACAGGGAATTCCAGTTTTTCTTGGGGTATTTGGTACGGAGCATAGAGGACAAAGAGCTGGAATAAGGCTGGGGCTGAAATGAGCAGCCAATTAAGTGTAATATTACATAATAATCTACCCGCCCGTTGGTTGGGTTTCAGCCGCAGCCGCCGCCCGGATCAACCAACTTTCCGCCTCCACACGCCTGCCACGAGGGGAAGACCACACCAACGGGACGAGAGAGGCTTTAAACAGACAAACAATATCACCAGGGGTATATACATAGATACATCATTATCATTATTGCTCTGGCGCCGAAAAAAAAAGAAAAAAGAAAAAAGAAAAAACAGGAAACATAGTGCTTCCCGCTAAGCCTTCACGAATTTCTGCTCCAGGCGCCATGTCGTCCAGTACTCCGTATACACAACTCAGCAGAAGAATCGATACACCTTCTTCCACAGCGGCCATTCCGCCCTCTCCGCCCTTTCCTCAGCAATTAAGTGCGCCAGATGTAGATCCCGCCTACCAGTCTTGAGGTCCATGTCCTTCGCGCGGACGATCTTTGTTTTAAACCGAATTTTATACGGAACGTAGAACAGGATAACGATCGGAGCCGCAAGGTAGACGGAGAACCAATTCTTAACACCAGCCACAGTAGGGTCCCCGTCCATTTCTTGAATTATAGGTGCAACCCCAACCCAGAACTGAGCCATGAGCACAAGTATGTTGAATATAAATCCGATCCAGGAACCGACGACCCCAGGTTGGGATGTGAAAGCTAGTTCGTCAAGACTGTGACCTTGCAAGGCCCAGCCGCGTCGGAATCGAATATGCGCAAGGCAAATGGAAGCCCAGTTGAGGATGGATGATAGCCCTGAGATAGCCATCATCCAGATGAATACTTCTTCTTGCTTCGAGGACGCAGCGAGGAAACTGAGGAGACCGATCGCGGATGCGACAATAATCGCGAATAGAGGGCGCCCTCTACGGTCGATGTAGGCGAGGAAGCGAGGTGCTTGATGCTGTTCGGCCAAAGCTGCTAGAGTCCGCGAGGAGCCATATATCGCAGAGTTCCCCACCGAAAGGACAGCAAGCATGATAACCACGTTCATAACCGAATCTAATCCTTGAATTCCTGCATCCCTGATGGCAATCACAAATGGTGAAGCTTTGGTATCCGCCTGCGAAGCGGGGTTGAGTAAACGCGCTTCGGTGTATGGGACCAAAAGCCCAACAATTATCAACGCTACGATGTAGAATAAAGTGATTCTCCAAAATACCTGTCTGACTGCACTTGGGAGCGCTTTGACCGGGTTGGATGCTTCAGCGGCAGCTAGACCAACAAGCTCGGTCCCGGTAAACGCAAATGCTGCGTTCACGAAGCAACTGCAGAGGCCTTTGAATCCGTGATTAAACGCCCCGGGGTCCCGCCAGTATCGAAATCCGATATATGACCCATTGTCACCACCACCAATATTAATGACGATTCCTAGTATACTAGAAGGCGTCAGAAATATTTTCAACGGACATATCAGAGAAAGACCCGGTGACATACATAAATCCAACGATAGCAACGACTTTTATTATAGAAAATATGAATTCCGCTTCACCATAGCCTTGGACTCCAAACAAGTTGATTGTAATGACCATAGTGTAAAAGATGGCAACCCAGGCGGCGGGGGAAATATGAGATGGCCAGTAGGATACCGTCAAAGAGGCCGCGACAATCTCTAAAGGCAAAACAACCAGCCACTGCAAGGCATAGTTCCATCCCATAGCGAATCCCCATGCGGGATCTAAAAAACGAGTGGAGAAGGAAGAGAAAGAGCCAGCAACGGGAAACAAAACGGCCATTTCGCCTAGAGCGTGGATGGTTGAGTAGACCATGATGCCGACGAGACTGAACGCGATGACGAGAGAGGCAGGCCCACCGATAGCCAGAGACCTCCCAGAACTTACGAAAAGTCCAGTGCCTAAATGCGGGATCCATAACTTAGTATTCCGTTTAGGTCCGGAAGCAAGGAACTCCCATCACTCTTTTGTTCACATAGAAAAAAAGTCCATACCTACAGAACCTCCAATAGCAATCATCTGCAAGTGCCGGCCCTTGAGTTTCCTCTTCAGGGGAGACAAAGCTATATTCGCGACAGCCTCTTCGAGGTCGAACAGCTTTCCATTCGTGTCTATCTGCCCAAGCTTGGAAACCTGCGCGTGCGGATTTCGCTTGAAACTGTCCAAGAGCCGTTGCCAGGCATTCTTTTGGGGTGGATCATCGTCGTAGTCTAGCGATACCTCTGGAAAAGAAGGGGTTGGATGGACAGTCCGGGGAAAAGACCTCGCTGGTTTTCGAGCATTCCCGGAATGCGATGCGACCATTATCACAGAGATGGCTGTGACATGGGCTCCGATGATTTAATCTGGAGGTGTGAGGGTGACTTTTGTCGGTAGTTGGGCGCTGCTGCACCGTTCATCGCAGGCACATTCGACAAAAGTGTGCGTATTCAACCAAGAGCACGCTGCACAATAATAGAATGGCTTCCCGAGTTCCCAGTAATGAGACCAAGAGGGAACCAAGGTTCCAAAGCGGGGGTAGTGGAGAATGATCCTTGGTCAACTCATCGCTGAGGGTCTAGGATCAAAAAGTTGAAGGTTATGTAGCCCGTGGGCTATTTAATCGAGAAGCTGGGAGATGCTAAGAAATGAAATCTGGGGGTTTCTTTCATATTGCTTGATCCCAAGACACAAACAGCAGGGTTCCGAGAAACGTGAATGCTATGAAGTTACATTCCGGTTGGCCTCCATCCAGTCAACGTTTAAAAAAAAGAGAATCCAGCTGGCAACACCAGGGGTTGCCCATGATCCGAGATGGTCATCCTGTCGGCCCACTATTAACGTATTCCAAGCATTGGCAAATCGGCGCTTTCTCCGGTGTCAAATGCGCACAACGTGGGCACGTTGCGTACAAACTCCGCCGCTCCGGCCTCGTGTAGCTCGTGTGTTGCGGACGGACTCGAGGGTACAAGCCAAGCACGTAGGACATCCTTCGGTCCGTCGTTAGCTTTGAGAAGCGCGCTATCAAGCGATAGGATCCTGCCTGGGTCGCCACACTCCTGCAGCACGAGTGTTTCGAGCTTGACTGTTTTTTTTGATTGTTTCCAGGTTTGCATAAACCCGCTCCTGGAAAATCATTCAAACCAGATCGTTGGCGGTGAAGGCCACGCGATGGGATGATAATCATTGCATCATCCGCGCATCCCCGCGTCCTTCTGTGATTCAGCCCTCAAACCCCCAATTTCGCTTTAGTGCGGGGATATTACGCCGCGACAATCGAGAGGGTAAAAAATTTCATCTCCTCCAAATTCATCCTTCAGAAACTCAAAACCAGCTTTCTTGTAACCTTGGCTACCAGATGGTGTCGTAGTCGAAATCATTGATAACATCTAGGGTCAAAATAAATCTGTTCTGCGTACGGAGTACTCCGTCTTACTTTTGTCGTTTTCTCTTACAACTGTTACATACTAGCGCTCGATGCTATCTACTATTACTTAAAACAGGAAGATGCTTCGCAGACGTGTAGTAATAGGTCATAGCCGTGATATTTTGAGAGACAACGAGCAACTTTCCAACGTTAACGCCCAGCGGATCCTTGGACAAAGGGAAAACAGAAAAATTGAAACCAAAGGCGGCGAGAGAGAGACCGAGCCTCACCTTTGCGTGCTTGGCGGTCTGTGTTTCCTGTAACGTAGATTGTGCCTACTCCTGGCTGAACCTTTTGAGATATCTGAGATATAGCTTGTAGGTTGATCATTGAATGCCGCTCGATCGGCGTGACCCCGTGGAAAGAGTATGTAATACCCGTTTGTTTTGATTTACTTCATACAGAAATGATGCTCCATGTAGTATAATGGACTTAAGAATGCTCATATATCTCGTAGAATGATGCAACAATACCCCAAAACTCCAGAGTCTAGATATGAAGGAAAACCGACTCCATCCAAACTGCGCCAGCCCTGGTCTAGCTTGCAGAGCCCACTGGACCCTCACCGCCGGGAATTAACTTGATATCAACACGTCAGCCTCATGTGTGACGAGAAGAGAATGGTTGAGCTAAACGCACCATGCAAACATTATTTCCATTTAGCAAGATCTTAGGAAGCTTAGTTTGGGCTCCTGTATAGTCACTAGGATATTGTCAGCAAGGCGATTTTCTTGCTGCAGCAGGACATGTGAAAATGTGTCCATACAATTCTGTAACGTCCTCCAGAACCATATCTATGAGTAGCTATTAGTCTGCCTATTTCATATCAGAACTTTCAGGAGGATAAAAGGAAATACATACTAACGTAATCATCGAATCCAAGCAAAGTTCCGCTGAACTCTACAGCGTCGAACGCAAGTCAGTAAAAGCATTCCTTCCTGGCACATCCGAGTGAGAGCTTCGTGGAAGAGGCCAAAAATAGACAAACCGCACCTCTATCTCCCTTCATAACAACCCAGATCTTGGATCCAACGCATTTATCAATTAATTCTTATTCATCAGTTCTATGTTAGCGATCACGCAAAATATTTGGAAAAGTATGGAATTCTAGATTTTACCAAGTGGGAGTAGTTGCGACGCCATGTTGAGAGATGATGTATAATATATTTAATTCAACACGAATGGTAAAGATGATCTCCCCTGCTCATCAAAGGTTTGTGGTTGACTCCAGGCCGCTAAGAACTGTCAGCTCGATTCTCTCTGGAAGGTTGTTCCCAAGCACTTGATATGGCGTGAATAAGAGTCCATTGAAGGAAATGGTCACGTGACATCTATATTTATGACTTCCACGTGACCTTAAGTGTACACCACCGCTTTATGGAAGTCATGGCGTCAGTTTCAATTCTTTTCCAAATTTCATCCAACTGCTCCGTACCATGCCCTGGATGTTGCTTCTCATTCCCGGAGATCTGGAGGCTTTCAAATCCTCAGAAATGGTATCCCTGTCAAATACAATGAAAGGGAAGAAGCCATCTCCGCCACACTTTATCGGGTACACACCCCCTTAGTAGACAGCGGTATCTACTTCTTGAAGAACAGTCGCAGTCTAGACTCTGCATTCGACGACTTTTGATGTGATGTGATAACGACCGGTCCCAGGCTAGCTAATCAAAACAAAAGGTTTCCCAGCAAGTCCATGCTTCCATATATAGGCGTTCATATTCCTGCATTTTCATCTTGATGGACTTTCAGCCTTCCCTCAGCCTCTGTTCCAAACAATATTTGAAAAAGAGCAAACTCCACATAGGAGTTAATGATGGATGTTAATGAGCTAAACAACAAACTTGATGAGCTCTATCGCAACAGATCATTCTACTGGGTGCAAGGCATTCCATCTTTTATGAATCCTCGCTCTCAGACAGTGTGAAAACTACGCCCAGTCTTCACAGAACTATGGAGATGACAATATCTATAAGACATATGTGACAGACATGTGGTACATGTGTCACAACTCAGCTTGAAAGGCCCAATCCTGGAGTTCAGAGCAGTGCAAAGATAAGAATGTAGTATGTGGAGATGGCCTCTGGAAGTTTTTCATCTCCTACAATCTGCTTCTAACCTTGACATGTAGGATTGCTGATGATCCTGGGAACCCTTCATCAACTAAGCCTCAACACAGCAGCTCTCGTGTTGGATTTGACTTTTATAACCATGACACACTCACGAAACTTTTTTGCACCTGTACTTGAAAGCTGCTGGACACGAGACATTCCCCATTATTCCACTAGAAGACTGCATTAGATCCCCTGTTCCGGCCCACATTTTAAATATCCAATCCCCCCTGTTCATCCAGTTGCTCTTCTCCCATACGGCTCACGACACACCCAAAGCACAGTTGGAGAGCTACAGGAATATATTACTCTGTCTCTTTGTTTTTTCCACAGCCCCTTGCTTTTTTCCTTCTAGACTACTTTTACTAGCCTCTACGTTCCTGGTCGAATTGTTTATGACCAGAATGGCGCCCTAAGCCCACACATCCGCCAGATACTCTTAACCACCTTGCTTTGGCTAACCACGCCGAGAAACATTGTGAAGGAAACGGAGCTAGCTTGATAGCTGACTAGCTACGGACCACGCCACTCTTCATCGCAGCTCCTCTGTTCTTGAGACTATTGTCCTAGATAACGCCAATGGATCCAAGGAACTTGGCAGCATGGAAGCCCTAGCTCAGGACGGCTTGATGGGGCTCTGCCTTGAGACATATGGAAACTCGCCAGATAGTATTGCCGAGAATGCGATAAAGGCAGAAATCATGGCAAAAAAGGACGATGACAAGCACCAGCATCAAGGTGCGAAGGATTTTCTGGTCTACGCAAATATCAGCGCACCGTGGTCTACCTTTATTCGAGATAGCCAGCATAGAGGGAAGAGTCATAGCTTGTCCTGCACGCTCGAGAATTCGCTCATGGTATCGTCGATTGCAGGCAAGGTTGCCACGCCGCTGGCTGAATTAGTTCTGTGCCGTGACAACTTCATAGGTATCGAAACTGGTCAGCTATGCGAAGCTGTGTACTTTTGTGCTCGTCTGGCGTCACTGTTCACGTGCTGGTTTCACTCAGCAACTTCACCCGTATGATAAGGTTGTATGGGTACTTGTTTGGACTGCTGGAGGGTGTGAAGCAGCAATAGGACATTCCCATGAAGTTATGGAAAGACACTTCATTATTGGGATGATGAAATCTTTGATGGCTGTTGGAGAAAGGACAAGCCCTTTGCACGTGGAGGCTTTCCGTCAACCTTGAAACAATCTTCAGCTCCACGCTATGTCTCACTCTCATATCAACGTCCGGATTGTCACTAAAGTCCTCCGCGACATGGCTGAAGGTGGCAAAGCGTTCGATTTCAAGGAATTCAAATCCCTGTTGGACTCTCACGGCTAGGTCAAGGGACAGTCTGATCCACTCAAAGTGCGCTTACGCCTACATGAATCGTTGCTCGACGTCGAGAAGGCCGATGCAGCTGGCTGTACAGCGCATGGGGTGAAAATGAAGAAATAGGCAAAGAACCAAGCCATGGAGGGGAATATGGCTGAAGTCGGGTGGGAGTTCGAGAAGGGCACCCTGACTATCATCGATCTAAGCAGCCCCTTGTTAATGAGATTGATGCATGAGCATTCTTCAGTATTTGCTTGAGCATTTTCTTGGAGAGTCGTGACAAGGGAGGATGCATTATTGCTCTTGACGAGACACACAAGTTGAGCATACTGCTTGCCTTAATTCCTGTAATAGAGGAGTCTGATAGTCGAGGCTTGGAATTATTCAGCTGCAGCACAGCTGTTCCAGGTAAAACTGAGAATGGGGGATCAAGAAGAGAGAGATGCAGAGATGAGCGAGAAAAAACTGGAAAGGACAAGGAGAAACGTAGGGATGACGAAGGAGAAAGATCAAGTGGTGGAAGAAGAGTGGTTTTATAGTTGTGAAAGTGGCGATACAGTGCTTTACCTGGATTGGGCGGTGCTAAACCGTGAGACAACCTGGTATACCAACATATGTACTCCGTAACTGATTGACCTTCAAGTCACTTCGGAATTTCATTTACATCTCTGCATTATCTGATATTATATCTCTAAGAGGTATCATACATGTTCAAAATGAATAACCTAATTCCCGACTCCGATACATCGCATGCTCGACGACTCTCAGCCTCTCAATGGCAGGATTTTAGATCCCAGGGCCTCTTGTCTGCATAATGGACATTCCGGCTTTTCACGCACCCAATCCCGGATACAGGTCCAGCAGAAGACATGTCCGCAGGTAGATACGCTTGGGTCTTTGAATGGCTCTAGGCATAAAGTGCATTTACGCTGTTGCCCAGCCGGTATCCAGCTCAGAGCTGTGCCCGCATCTGATGAGAGGTCGTATCGGGGTGTGTCCGGCGGTAAAGAAGGTATGGACGGAAGGTTACAGACACTTTTTAAAGTTGTTCCTGGCTGGCCGTCTGATCCGAAATCGTGCCTGTCCTTCGACTGGGTATCTTCCTGAATAGATTCAACGACCTCTTTCACGTGTACAATTCCCTGTACAACGATCTGCAGGACCATCAATACCCCTAGTACCTCGTATCCGACTCTTTCTTCGCTCTCCTCTATCCGCTTTGAGAACACATATCGTAAGCCCCAAAGTCGCTTGGAAATGTGATAGTATGCACCAGTGAAATAGAACGCCGCGAGATGGATGGCATAAACGGGCGAAAGCGACGTTAGGGAATCCAAATGCTCAAGGATGTATGTTTGAAATTTAAGGACCAGGTTTTGTCTCTTCTTTTGCTGTTCTTCTTTCGAGAAATATACAGACTTTGCCTGTTTGCGCGCAATACTCCGCTCCAGCTTTGCCCTCAACCGACGTCTGAATGCGGGGAGAATTCGCTGCAGTGTCCACGGCATGAGAATACTGCTGAGGATATAACCAGCCCGTCGAGCCAGCGACGGAAACCGTAGGGAGTCATCCTCCAGCTGTACAACGTCACAGTACTCCTCCCCCAGCGTTCTATTCCCGACGAGGGTAGTGAGGGACAGGTATAAGATGTCTGTTAGGTTTTTGATAGCATCGGTGTGTGCGTGGGCAAATCTGGCGCCGCGAAGGGTTCGTACAATCGATTGGGCTTGAGTGGATAATGTTCCGGTGATATAGGCATCTTTTTCGTGAGCTCGGATTATATCTGGGGAAGTTGCCCAAGGGAAGAAATGGGAGGTAGGCCAATGCGAAGTGGTAGGTTTGGAGCTAGGAGGCGATGAGGAGGAATGCTGAGAGTCATCGGACGACATTTTGTCCTTTGCTAGCACCTCTCACGGGGGTCTCAGTCCTGCGAAGATCAAGCATGCAAGAGGAAGATTGCTATCGCCAGCGAAACTCCAACCTGAAGTCGCCCTTCCCCAAAGACAGAAAGATACCTCGGCCGTCGAACATGTCACGTGAGATCACCAATTATAGCAATTAAGGTTTTTTGGCATCTTGGCATTTCAGATTACGTAATCCAGAGGTCCGCTTGTTCGGCCAAGCGTGATACTGTAGCAAATAACTTTCTTTGGTGCTTGGTGCTCCGTACCTGGTAAATATTCGGGAGAACACATACGAGCTTCAAACCAGGGCAACTTTTGTTTATTGTCTAGCTTTGGCAAGGAGTCGGTTCTCGGGCTTGCGATGGAATATGGACCCTGACCATCATGCGGCCAAGCCAGAAGGGTTCAACCTTGTTCTTCCCCTCCCATACCGCGTTGCGGTGATCTTGGTTGCCGGTAGGAAGCTTCCCCATGCTTTTGACGCCTTGACCGAGAACCTCTATGAAGCTAATGGCTTTAACTCCTCACACAGGTGTCTGGGGATGGGGTTTAAATCTGCATTATTTATCCGCAGTAAAGATTGTACGTGCAATGCATTCCCGATCCCAAAAGTCCTCGCAAAGCCAACACCGAAACCACTCCGTCAACAGCTAACAAGCCTAGGACGTACCCGCCTTAATTCGCTATCCCTCACGATCTTCAGCTGGCAGCGTTCCCGTCTACAAGTCGACGTACCATCTCGCTACCCTCCTTTCCATCCCACTCGCTTTCTCCCTTCTTCTTTTCTGGTCCATCACCCACCGTTCCCCCGAGCTGGTTCTCGCCTGGGAAGTCCTCCCGCAGTCCTACCTCTTCATTTTCTCCATCTTACTCTTTCTTCCACTTCATCGCCTCTCGCGTGCCGGACGTCATCGCTTGCTGGTAACCCTGAAACGGGTCGGTTTCGGCGGACTTGCAGAAGCGCAGGATGGAAAATTCGGTGACATAATTTTTGCTGACGTGTTAACGAGTTATGCCAAAGTCCTCGGTGACCTATTTGTCACCCAATGCATGTTCTTTTCCTCAGGGGTATCGAGCACTGGTGTTCCCAATCGTGCGTGTGGTGGGAACTTTGCCATTCCGTTGCTCATCTCGATCCCGAGTATTATCCGTCTGCGACAATGTTTAATTGAATATTCACGCGTGCAGCGGCGTGGGAACAGAAATGTCGATGGTTGGGGAGGCCAACATCTGGCTAACGCGTTGAAGTACTCCACTGCCTTCCCCGTCATTATCTTAGCCGCGCTGCAGCAGGGTTATGATCCATCGAGGGTAGGCATGAGCGAGGCTGGTTTGCATAAACTATGGTATGTTTTTCTGACGTTTAGTCCAATGCCTTTCTTATTGCAATCCGGCTGATCGTAAAAACTGCGACGAAAAATAGGGTCTTATCCGCGCTAATACAATCATCCTTCACATTCTACTGGGACGTTGCTAAGGACTGGGACCTTTGCCTCTTCTCCGACATCATCACCCAATTCCGACACAATCCATACCATCACGTCAGCTCCGCCTCCGCCCTGTCCCAAACCCATGATTTCGAGCCAGGCCTCGATCGCCCCTTTGGACTCCGCCGTCACCGCTTCTTCCACGCTGATGGAATCTACTATGGAGCTATCGCAATCGATTTTATACTCCGCTTCACATGGATGTCCCGCCTAAGTATCAGACTGAACTGGATTCACGACTTGGAGAGCGGAGTCTTTGCTCTTATGTTTCTAGAAGTAGCAAGACGATGGATGTGGATTTTCCTGCGAGTCGAGACAGAGTGGGGTGAGTACCTTTTGCAGGAAGTTTTTCTCTCACACTTGCATCATCCTGAATTATCTGTGACAACCACACTTTTTGTGCACCATGCATAGTTGCTGACTCTCCACGATTTTAGTCCGAAGTACTCGGGGTCCGTCACCGGATGATATTCTCCTGGGAGAATTTACGCCGAAAATAGACGAAGATTAATCCCAATACCAGATTTTCTCTCTCTATATATCATTGAATCATTTCTCTTTACGCGCCCTATTAGGGAATTCCTCCTACGATGGTATATCTTCCACATAATTCTATGTAAACCATCTAGACACCGCCTTCGTTTTTCCCCAAAACATAATATTTTTTTAACACTTGAGTGTACAGAGTACATCTTGTTCACTTTTCAAATAAATATTTTCAGTTCCTCGTGTATGCAGATAGACTTTAATTCGTCCCTATATTCACAGGAACATAATTCTAGGCTCCGGTCAAACAAACCAGAGTGTGTGGTAGGACAATCCACTACTTAATTTGACATTTCATTTAGATCAGAGTAAGGATCAAACCATATAAAACAATATCTATGTATGTGCATTCGCAATATATACAAAATCAAAAGAGATAACCTAACTATGGACCGTTTTCATATTATTAGAAATATCTATGGAGATATCGCCTCCTCCACAGTACAATGGAAAAGAAGCTTGGTGGCAGGGGAATCAAAAGAAAAAAAAAAAAAAAAAGGAGAACTGACGTTGTACAAGGCTCCTAAAAAGACGAAAGGTCAGGGGTGGATTGCACAAGATGGATTTGGTAGCAAGGAAACCGGCGTTTGAAGAGGAATTATTTTATTCGTTTAAGACCGGTCATTAGGGGCGAGTCTGCAATCAGCCGAGCGCGGCGCTAGAACGTTCTGCGTTACGAAATTGAGAGATTAAACGTCAGGGACAAAAAATAAATGAGTCTCGGGAGACGTATTAACACCCGTAATCTCCACAAAACACGGCTCGTAGAATCGTCGTCCAAGTGCAGGGTATCGACTCAAAGGACAACAATAATAGGGAAGAAGGTTATGGGGTTGAACCCCCTAGGATTGCAGTTGGGCCCATGGGAATCTCCCTGTCCAGTGTGGATATGTCGAGAGGGACAAAATGAGGAAATGGCACGACAACAAGTCAATAGGAGCCGAGAAAAGAGACAAAACATCTTTCCGCTGATAAGGATATATAACGCCAAGAACCAGACATGACCGACATCAGAATTATTCCTGCCGCAAAAAAAGGAAAAAAAAAAAAAAAAAAAAAAAAAGAAGGAAAGGAACAGTGAGGGCTCTCGCGAAGTTTCTTTCTTAGCTTTTCAAGTTTCACCGTCCTGGAGGATGGTTCTCGAAAAGATCTTCAAGATAAGCGCTCGGTGCTCTACCTTGCGGCGCAACGGATAGGTTCAGCGAGCTCGTTGACAGGTGGGCCTGATCATGACCACGGCTGCCGGGGGGCAGGCCAGGCGATCCCGGTGGACTGGGCCCTGATCTTGTACGCGAATAGCCTTGAGACTGGGGTCCCAAGGGCGACAGGCCGATGGACGAGCCGCTAAGATGTGCCAAGCCAGAGCCTCCTCCAGGCGCGGCGCCGCTTGCAGCATAGTAACCAGCAGGCAGGTAGCCAGAGCCTCTGTTTCCTGCGGTGTGCATGCTCGCGCCAGCGGTTGGGGAGAAGAAGAGGCTTTGGTTCGTAGTATGGGTGGGGCCGACGCGAGAATGGCGCTCTTTGCTCATCTTCTCCCTTGACGCCGGAGCCCCAGCAGAGCTCTGATATACCGATTTCCTGTTACTGGCGTGTAAAAGGGCGGTTGCGTCTGAATGGTGTGAGTTGTTTGTGGCACGTCGGACGGATCGATTGACGGACCAGGCGACAAGAAGTCGCCATGCAACCACTATCACACCGACAAGTCCGAGAGCCGCGCCAACCGCGATAAAGATCGTGCCTTCAGGCAGGTTGGACTTCTGCAGGTACGGCGCCCCCTCTTTGGGTGGAATTTGCGGGGTTGGTATCGTTGGCCCGCCGGTAAGTGATGGGAGAGTGAAAGCCGGCCCAGATCTCGATCTCGATGATGTGCTGTCCTGCGTGGTTGTAGGGGTACTAGATTCGGTAGAAAGGCCAGGGAGGTTTCGGGACTCTGTTTCGGTCGGTTGCGGCGTGGGTGTACGAGCGGTCGCGGTCTCCCTGTCAGTAGGTGGCGGGGATGGAGGCGGCGTCTGTGTTCTGTCCGGTCTGGTTGGCGAGTTTGTCTGGGTGACTTCTCTCGTGGGTTCAGGCCTGTCTGTATCCGGTCGGTCGGAAGGGTCGTCCCTCTGTGCGGCGACATGACCAGCCAGAAAACTCGTGAGAAAGAAAACCAGAAGAAGGCACAATATCGGCCTCGAGGCCAGGCCACCTCGAGGTCGTCTCATGACAAATTCCAGACCACGAAATACTCGATTGGGAAGACTCTTGTATCGAACAACCCCCCTCCGTGAGATGGATTCAAACACACACGTGGAGATCCGAGGTGAACGTGGACGCCTGGTTCAGAAGCAACCAAAGGGATTCAGATCAGGACTCGATAAGAATTGTTGGGGGGGTTTTCGAGGCGGTAAGCGAGCGAGGAGCGAAATCAGCAACGGGGCTCAATTAAGACACGATGGAATGTAACATTGTCGAACGAGAGTAACAAAGTGAGGGGGAAGAAGGGAAAGTCGAGAGAAAAATAAGTTGCCACGGAGCCAACAGCAACCAGAGAGGGAGGATGCAAAGCACAGGCGGCAAGACACAAGCAAAAGAATGTAGGACGGACGGGGTCAACTTCTTCAGCAGGAGACGGGGTTGAGCGGCAGATGAGGTCTCGCGGGCTGCTTTTCGCCGTTCGTTTTTCTTGGTTGGTTTGCGTCGTCGTGTCCGGGTGATTGGCTCAGGCCCGGCCCAGAGGGGAATGGTTGCCAAGCACGCCGCTTGTTAAAAGGGGCTGCCAGACGGGCGACAGCTAACGACGAAAGCGACAAGAAAAAAAAAAAAAAAGAAAAAGCGATGTCGAAACAGAGAGAGTGTTCCAGCCCTTCGCTAACCAGGTGCTCCGTTATGTTGCTACTGAACAGCGCTTCTTGCCGACGCCCTCCAATCGATGCTGGCCGCCGCAAATACATAGCTCTCAGGGCAGTGTGTTACGGAGTATGTAGGTGGATCGTGAGCTCACGGTCCACCCCCTGCTGGGAGAGAAACATGTTTCTCATCCTATTGGCAAAAATTATCATGACCTGTCTCCCTCTCTGGGGTCTTGCAGCCATGTCTTGACCTTGGACAATACACTTCATCGACGTGATTCTCCATATTTTTATTTTTATTTTTTTGAACCCTGTACGGAGGACAGAGTACGGAGTACGGAGTAGATATCCAGATATCATCTCCTCAAGCGGGATTCTCCACAAGGGAGGGGGCGACTTGGCGATGGACCTGAGGAATTTAACTCACCTTTCGGGGACCATGTACCGATTTTCACTCCTGTCCAGGGGGGACAGCAACACTCTACTTACAACTACGGAGTAGAGAACAAACAATCTACAACTTTAAGCCTTCCCACGTGTAAATTGTAATCTCCCAACTCAACCCTTTCCTCAAGACGAGCAGCATGGTTCCCACTGCGGCGTGTTACATTTGCTTCTGCAACCATTCCAAGGTGCATTGTATGTGTGTATATATATATATATATGTATATCTGTATCCCAACTCATTTTAGTGGCAGAACGAATTAACTGCAAGACGCAAAAATGAATGCCCTCGAGGCTCGTGGTGCTTCCTGGCCAGTTTGGCTGGATTTGAATGTGCCACCAAGCCTTTTTCCAGATTTTCATCAAATGCTGGTTCAAGGGGTGCCAGTCTCTCCGCCCGACGAGCTGCTTTTAGAATCCATCCGACAGCGAGACGAGAAGTACCCAAATCTCCGATGTATGCGAATAAACTGACTGCTCTGTACTTAGTCTTGCTGGAAACAAAACGAGTGCACTTCTGACATCATGAATATTCTCCACCGCCGTAGAAAGATGACAGGAAGATAAAAGGCAACAATGGCTGAAGCAACGTTGAATATCTCTCGACCTTTTGGAGGCTCAAAACACCACGGAGCGAGCGGTCAAACACGACGCCAGGGCTGCGAGCGAGCGAGTCCCCAAGGCCAATTGCAGGGGTGAGCGCCGGCCACGCCGTCAAGCCAGTCCGCTTCTGGGGCTAGAGAATCGAGTCCAAGAGCCCACGTTCCTACAGGGGTCGGCGAGTCTTGCTGGCTGCGCTCGAGTCAGCTACACAACATGAACCCGTCCGCCTCTTGGGGCCGTGTGGGTCAGAGCCCAAACCCGAGCGATCGAGCGAGAGGAGTGTTGGCTGCAGTTCTGGACTCTCTTTTTTTCTTTTTTTTCTTTTTTTTTTTTTAATAAGTTTTTCATCTCCTCCTCATTTCATGACAATAGCACCCATAGTTAATTCCATTTGTCTTGTTTGCTTCATTTGCTGCTTTACTCTACCTTTTTTCTTTTTTAATTTTTTTTTTTTTTTTTTGCGAACTGGTCTTTTTTCATTAGGCTTTGCCTTCTTTGCTTGAAGGTTGCCACATGTTGCAGCGCTGGCGCGGAGTGGCGATAAATGCAGAGTGGTCAACTCCGTCCTTCACCATCTGCCTGTTCAACACTTTGCATCGGTAGCGCGACGATCCTGTCCTGTCTCTCATCAGCCACCTACTCTTCGATCTGATCTGTGCCGGGCCAGCCAGAAAAAGCAACAATCCTGTCAGGTGGAAATCACAGATGCGCATCCAACAGATCGGCGCTACTCCGTACCTGTTCCTTGAAAAGTCCATAGCTCGCTGGCTTTAACTTTCCACCCGCACCCCTTCACCAGACTGCCATCATCCTTGTTGGGCCTTTTTCACGCTCTCTCTCACAGCTTTTCTGATCTTCTGTTGATCCAGCATATCTCTCTTTCCATTGATTCTTACAGAACACCTTGCAGCTGGAGAATTCAGTTGTTATCATTCTCTCCCGTGGTTGCATTTATCCAACCTGCTCTGCCATTCCTCCAGCCTGTTTGCTCTCTGCCAAAAACCCCCCACCACATCTTGGCCCGTCAAAACAGACCTCATTCACCACTCAGCTCTGATATGGGATCGTTGCCCATCGGTTGAACCGTGTCACATCCCATCCCATCTCCCCAATACACAATGTTCAGTGATGGAGTAAACCGGATGCCTGCGACATCCCACCAGTCCTTCACTTCCTCCTCACATGCTGCCCGTCCCAGTCCGCAACCTGATGCCGCCACCTCGAGCTCAGCTGATGCCGGCGCCCGAGCTGCTTCGGCCTCAATAACTTCGTCGAATCCTCCTCGTTCAAATCCTCCTCGGCGTGCTCCTGGTCCCTCGTCAGCCCCAGACGAGCCCCGGTCCTCAATGGCGTCCCGCTCGTCCCTTGCCCCCCCGAGCCTGCCCGACCGCAGGCGCCCTTCTTCCCAACGACACCACTCTTTTCAATCCAGCCATTCCCAACAGGAGAGACATGGAGACCGGCCTGATGCACCAGCTGTAACGTCCCAATCGTCCCCTTCATCTCCCGTGTCCCACCCAGCCAACCGGATGTCCCGATCGCTCGGTGCTTCCGCAGATACCCCTCCTGAGCGCATCAAAGTACGCGACCTCAAACACATCCAACGCTTTGCCAGCGAGGAGGTGCTGTCGTCTTCGCGCGAAGGGATGGCAACTCGTCCCTTTCAAAATTCTGGTCGACAGTACGATATTCGATCGATGCCAGTCATTGATGTGATCGAGATGATCGCAGGTCTCCTAAACAAGATCACCGCCACAAACGACCTTCAGCACGAACATATCCACCGTCACATCCCTTCGCCGGAATGTGTTGCTAGCCTCAGTCCGCAGGCCGCAAGCGTACTGGCCTTCCATGGGAAAAACACCCCCAACATAGGGCTCTATGACTATCTCATAAGAATATACCGGTACTGCCCGTCGTCCTATGAGATCTTCCTTTGTCTACTCGTCTATTTCGACCGTATGGCCGAGATCGTCAATAAGGGCTACCTTCAGAACCTTCAACGACGGCACGATGGCAAAAATAGTCAACGGCCTACCTCTCCAGCTCCCCCGCTCACTATCACTCCTGGTGGGCGCTCCTCTCACCTCATCACGCCCCCTTCCTCCGGTGTCAACGCTCCACTTACCCACAGCGAACCTCCATCTCCAATGATCCAAGATCCACAGCAACCGCCGGCTTCAAACGCAGATTCCATGCAAGTTGATAACAACAATCCTGATTATACCCATGATCACAACAATGATGACGCCGATGCAGTAGACTTCTCGCATTATTTCGTTGTTGATAGTCTCAATATCCACCGTCTCGTTATAGCGGGTATTACGTGCGCGACCAAATACTTTTCTGATGCGTTTTGGACCAATTCAAGATACTCCAAGGTTAGCCCAGCTTTAACTCTTAGCTATTTCACCCGCGGTTTGTGCATTTGCTGACCCTGGTTATTTTGTAAATAGGTTGGTGGCATACCACTTCGCGAACTCAACCACATTGAGCTCCAGTTTCTCTTGCTCAACGACTTCCGTCTCTCCATCTCCCCTGACGAATTACAAACATACGCGACGATGTTGGTGGAATTTTATATAAGAGAAATTCTCAACCAGCGCAAACGGCTCCAGGAACAGACTCAGGGCCAAATACCTCAGTCACCTCCGGGCACTCCACAAACAGAGATCAGAGCAGGAGCCTGAACAGGGCATGGTGTACGCATGCTTGCATCCAGCTCTCGCCCGACATCTGGAAGGTTTATGTAAGATGACGAGACGCATCAAGGCGCATAGACCACCGATTGATATCTCTCTGTATGCCTACTGGATTTATCTCAGTTATCTCTGTGATGAATCAGCTGAGAAGGTCGGGACATTTATTTTCAACAAATCGCATAGCTATTCCTGGAATATTTTCTGCATCATGCCACGAAGATTAATCCTTTGAGCTATGCACATCTGCTTATGATGCTTTCTACGGTTTTATACCAATTATTCTGGAGTGTTTTTATTTGTTTCATACTCCCCTTCTACACTACTTCTATTTCTTTTCTTCCTTGAGCAGAGTTGATGTTTTCACGCTTATTCTCCACCTCGCTCCCTAATGATTTTTCAAAGTCTCTGGTTCTTGCGTGTAATTCATTTCTATTGCCTCTCCTGCAGGGAAGTTATGTGTTTATGCTTATTTGACCTTCTAATTTGACCAGGGGTTTTCTTTCCACCTCATTCATTTCTAGCAATCCCTTTTCTTTTTCTTTTTGTGCTCTGTAGCCGTGCGCAATTGTCCAGCTGATACAGAAGTATTATCATTTTTTAATCAATGGAATTCCTGATTGTCCTGCTGACCCATTGATATTATCATTTCTTTTTAAAAAGCAAATAAACAACAAAAAAAAGCTTATGCAGTGAGTGGGGACGTTATGACCTTTCATGAGGGTGTAGGATTCTTGCTCATGTTGCCAACATTACCAAGTAGTCTTTGCTGTTTATGCAGTGTCTCACAGCAGGTCATCTAGTCTAGCTTGTATGTCATCCTTTAGAAGCTATGATCAAGTGCAAAATTTTACAACTTTTTTTCCCTTCTTCCAAGCAGGGAGCGAAGAGATTCGCGGGGGTCAGTTGAGCAGAGAAAAGCTCGTGTCAATGCGGGTAGGTTTCGGGCGTTCGTCGAGCTTCCACTTCAACCTTTATGTTCTACTGTACCAGGGTTGGAAGCCTGTTTGGGGGGAAGTATATATTTATGTACTGTATGTATGTATGTATGGACGTGGTTAAGTCACATGCCTACCAATTAACATCAAATCATCTGGCGCATATTTCGTCAGAATCTCCCAAAACCTCCTGCTTTTTCAAAAAAAAAAAAAAAAAAGGAAAAAAAAAAAGAGAGAGAGATACATGTTGATCACGACCTTGTCTAGAAATGTCGAGATAATGCAGCTTGTAGTTTGTTTTGGTAGCAGGTGTCACAGGGAAAACCCATTGGCGCCGTGTGACGATGGGAAAAGACTTTTAAGAGAAGCAAGCTGCAAAAACCCCAGGCCTCCTGAGGACTTTCCCAGAAATTTGATGGGAGATTTCACCCGAATGACCATGAGGAATTTGGTTTTATTGGAAGAAGCCATGGGTCCTTTTTGATGTAAGGCGTGAGGTAGGGCGTGCTGTTCCTTTAGGGTTTTAAGCACGACAACGCCTCACTGAACTTGATGCATGCTGGTTATTTCTTCCCCGCCCTGCAGGTAAGAAATATGCAAAGAGCAAGCTGAATACATTGTCCCAATATCACATACATATCAAATGTTTAATACATATGTACTGCTAGTGATGCATGTGCGTCTATGTATGTATGTATGTGTGTGTGTGTGTGTGTATGTATGTGTGTGAGTATGTACAGTACATACAAGCTTTACGCTGTAAAAAGATAACCCAGAGTCTCAAAGCTGAAGACAGGGGGAAAGAAAAATAATAATTCGCAAAGCGAGTGAGAATCAGGTGGAATACACAAAAAAGGGGCAGAAAAAAGGAGAGTAATTTTGGCTCGGTGCTCGGTGAGAAGTAGTTGAGTTCATCATGCCCAGATCTAACATCAAAAGAATGCTAAAATAGGAAGAAAAAAAAAAAAAGACAAAAACAGCACGAGTCATTATATTGGTTCTGCTGTAAGCAACAGCATAATGAACCATGTATATGTTAAAAACAAGAATGTTATTATCAGATCAAGCGAAGGGGGGGTTTGGATAAAAGCGATATACTTCCCCATGGCGTGTATTGCTCACCTCCCTGCCTCTTTAACAATGTTCATAAACACATCCTCATCTCCCACAACTTCAACGGCCCAATACTGCCCGTTCTGCCCGTTCATGGCCGCCGCCGCCAAGGGCATGGTCGACGATACAGGGGCGGACCTCCTTCGGCCTATGCCCACGCTCTTGGAACCCCATCCCAGAATCGCCGCTGCTGCTGCTTGACCTTCCTCGCTAGGTGCAAGGCTCATCAGTTGCGCTTCCAGACTGCCCAGCACCGCGACTCCGGCCCTAAATAGGACCCGATCTCCTTCGAATACCCAGCAGTCCCAGACACGGCTGAGCCGCTCCAGATCAAGACCGTTAGTAAAGATTGTCCTGAACATGGGCTCCCAGATCTGATGATCGGTAAGACACAGGTTTTCACATAAGTGGGTTGACAAGCGCGGGAATTTGAGACGAAGTGTCGCAGAGGCGAGTGAATACGCGCGGGCAGTGGCTCCAGGGTCGGCGGTCAAGAAAGCTAGAGGAACAGGGCGATTGAGGGCATTGGCCAGAGTTTGAAAGGCCGCAGCGGGGGTATGAAGCTGTAGCAGAAGTAGAGCGGCGACGGTCTAGAAAAACTTGTTAGAACGAGAAACGGGCTGGCTCTTTTTGTGTGTGTGTGTGTGTGTTGGGGCCCGGGGGGGGGGGGGGGGCCGCTGGGTTGTGCAACGCTGGGTTGTGCAACATACATGCATGCCATAGAGATACCCGACGTCGCTACGATACATCGAATATGCATCGAGCACTTGAACCAGGCTATCGTACAGAGGCCCCTCTTTCGAAAAGACTCTCAATTCTGGGAACGCCTTGGCCGCGTCGCATCGAATCGCCTGAAACCGACCACGCATGTTGTTGTGGACGCCGGAAGTGTCTTCTTCGCACTTCGCCCGGAGCTGGTTTGCCCTTTCAAGTGCTTTTTTGAATGATTCCTCCGACAATGCAAGACCATTACCGATGGCGCGCTGCCAGGCCGCTCCTCGCGATCGTGGTGTGATCCCGCGCCACCAGAGTTCTCGCGTGCGAGGCTCCTTGATAGCCCGATCCCAATTGGGAAACACGTGTTCGTCCCAAATGTGCTGCAGCATCTTTCGCGTGTCATCCCTTTTACATTGCGCTGAGGCAGCTTGCGCCGCTTTCCGCTTCTCTATACTATCAAGTTAGAACAAATTTGAGGACTTTAAAAAAAAAATAAAAATAAAAATAAAAAGGGATAGCTATGCATAGCAAGGATTTCTCACTTACCAGCTTCACGGGATAAGGCCATCATCTTCTTATATTCTTTCAAATGCCTCCTCTCTTCCTTTTGATCCTTCGGGGGTAGCCAGCTGGGTCTTGTGCGCGACAGCACTTTTTCCTTCTCTTTACTTATCGGGAGCGGGTCGATCATGATGTTCGGCCTCTGGAGCGGTGGCAGTTCGATCATGCCTCCCGATTCACGCTTCGGCTTTTCAAAACTCGATTTGGCCGACTTGCCACCCTGGATGCGTTCCTCGTGTTCGCGAGCCGCTTCATCGGCATGGAATTCAAGAGCCTCCGTCAGGACCTTTGCTTCTTCGGACAGATCTGACAGAACGACGTTCCACGTGTTGGCCCGTGGAAGCCGGCCGCCCTGTCCACGCAAGTGACCCATGGAGCTCGACCTCGGCAGTCTGTAGCGGCCCCTCTGCTGCTGCTGCTGCCTAGGGGGTGGTGACGTAGACGGTGATAAAGACACGGCCGACGGGCTCGAGACGGTATGTTCCAGCGGAATCGGCCTGGGACCGGGACTCCGGCTGCTGGACCTGCTGTTGCTCTCCTGGGGGCGTTCGTGGGGTGGACGCGGCGATATCGGCACGTTCCACAAGGCCGCATCCTCTGGCAGCTCATCGTCCGAGTCATGATACTCATCCTCCAGCTCCTGGACGCTCTTCCGGGGTTTGGAGGAGGACCGCAGGGATCCGTTCGGGGTTGGAGGGGGTCTGCTGTGCGATCTGACGGGGAGAACGACGGGAGAGGGGCCGACGCCGTTGTTATTCGGCGAAGGCGAGCGGGTTCTGGGCCTCGACAAGGACGGCGAGCGCGGCTGCAGCGACTGATTCGAGGGACCAGACGCGCCGCCCCTTTTTCCGGTGACGTCGCGGCGGGGCAGGGCCAGCGACTGCATTGCGCTCAGGGCGCCGTTGATCTGGGCCTTGAGCTGCGGATAGTCATTGTTGTTCTTCTTCTTCTCCGGCAGGGTGAGCTCTCGCACGGGAGCCCGGGGGGTGATATTTCGCATCGTCGCATGCCCACCACTGGACACTCTCCGCAGGGAGGGCCGGACGGCCAGTCTATCCTTGCCCAGATGGGTGTGATCTATGCGAGGGACATGGAGATCCTCATCGAGACCAATGTCTTCAAAGTTTGAGATGTCGGAGAGGATGCCATCGGGGATGGATCGGCGCGAGGAGGAGTGGAACGAGGAGGACTTGGAGGATTTGGAGCCGGTGAGATCGGGCGGGGAGTCCGGGGCAACAGAGATCGCGGTCACGACATTATCTATCATCTTGGGCCGAGAGAAAGAAAAAAGAAAAAAAAAAAAAAAAAAAAAAGGGAACAGAGACAGGGAGACAAGGAGATAGGGAGACAAGGAGAAGGGGAACAACGATCCAATCGAAGCGATCGGCCGTTCTGTTTCACAAGGGTACGCTGAAGGGCCGAGCACGGTTAAACCATGTCAGAAACGAGAAACAAAAAAAAAAAAGAAAATAAAAAGATTGAAGGGCGTATTAGAATAAGTAATGAAGAAGAACCGGAAAATTAAAATATACAGGCTCCTGTACAGAGTACTGGGGGGAGGGATGTTAGGATGTTAAACGAATGACAGGATCAGGGCATGTGCCGGATTAAGGGGTGCAGTGTGTATATATATTTTTCTTTTTCCTTTTTCTTTTCCCTTTTTGGGGGAAACGAACGATGGGAGATCTTCCCTCCCCGGACCTTGGGGGAGTTTATTCAAGCGAGCGACATGAGAGGTCAGATGGAGAAAAAACAGCACGGCGATTAGAACATCAGGCAATTTAAGAATTAGGTTCAAGGTTGATTTATTGTTTAAGCTAGATGGTAACTCTGTAGTGGCGACAGAGCACACCGAGCAGGGCACACAGGACAATCAGAAACGAGAGCAGCAGAGACAGGAGAAGTGAAGGCGAAGAAAAAGAGAGAGAGAGAGAGAGATGAGATGAGATAGAGAGAGAGAGAAAGAGAGAAGGAGATCGAGTGAAGGTTGGAATTGAGGTCCGGCCTTCCCAGTCCCAGTCCAAGTCCCATTCCACGTCCCATTCCAGTCCGTCGTGTCATTTTAGTGTCAATCCAGTCCCGTCTGTCAGTCCCAGTTCGCCGCCCTGGAATTTCCCCCCCCGTATCGAACCTGTACCGTAACACTGGCCGGGCTGGCCGGGCTGTTTATTTCCTGCTTTGCTTGTCCTGGCGGTGGGGACTGTGACCCCTGGCACGGGAAGAGGCAGTCTCGCACATGACCAATCACAGCTGCACATTCTGTGATCCACTTCCCCAACAGGCTTGGTCGGGCCCACATGCTAACCAAGAATGACCTAGCTGT